GGACGTGATAAAGTCTTTTTTATTCTTTTTTCCAGTGCTACTCAATCACTTGCCCATTTTTTCAGGTTCAACAGATGAAAGCCTTAGCGAAAGAAGAGCGAGCACGAAGACAGGTCAGTTGTTTTGCTTAAAGTGCTGTGATTGCACTTGTTCTTAATAGTGTGTAGCTGATACATGTTGGATTGCCTGTAATGACCCGAATGACTTTAGCAAGAAGTTGCCCGAATTGCGAGAGAGCGAGAAGAACGTCTTCAAATCGAAAATGAACGAAATCAGCTTGAAGGCTGAAGTAGAAAAGATAGCAGAACAACTTGCACAGGCCAAGGTAGAACAATATTCTGAGTTCGAGGAAATTTTCATTGCTTTTACGCTAACGTGGCCCTTTATCTTTACTCTCGAGGGTTTCTTTTCATTTGTCTTTTTATAAGGAGGCAGCCCGCAAAACCGAGGAAACAGCGGAGCTACTCGCTGAGAAAGCGAGAGCGAGCGAGCAAGAAACGTTGATGCTCACAAAAAGAGTCAGCGAAGCAGAGGCGGAATGTCACCGGTTACAAATGAATCATGTTAAGGTACGCTTGAAATTTTTGTTATTTCACACTTATCTTTGTTTTTCTCTTTTGCTCTACCACGAGTTGTTGCCTCGTGACTCAGTGGTAAGTTTACTTCAAAGTTACTGGTTCCAAGCTGCTTTGGGTTGAAAGAGTTCTATCAATCTTGATACCGAGAAACGTGCTTGATAAGAATTTCTTCCGCATCAAACTTTTTATTCTTTCATTTTTTTTAGTCGGAGGAAGCATTAATGAGGATGGAGCGCAAGGCTCGCGAAGCGGAGCTATACGCACAACGGATATCAATGTCATTGGCTGATGTTAATACGAAACCCCACTATGCGAGTCACGCACTAATTACAGAGCCTACTGTGCGTTTTCTTTCTTTTGCTTCTCCCGTTGTGCGCATTTCTCTTGTTTCTTTAGATTTGGCCCATGACTAATATGGCCTTGCAAGGTACGCTTTCTCACCATCAACTGATGATGTCTGCTGGCTCACAAGAAGGTGATCGCGGTGCGATTTCCGATCGGCCAGCGATGCATACGTCACAACATCCTTCTTCGCTCAGCTCGATGTTTAGATCAGTGCCACCCAGCATAGCCCAGGTTCGTGATGTTATGTATCAAAGTGGACGGTTTGTTGCTTGTTCTAGTGTGTTGATGCAAGGGCTCGTTCTAGATTGTGCATGCCCCTCCACCGGATCCATCGGTTAATCAGCGACTCGAGTTTCATAACTTACGCACGGAACTTGAAAAATCCAGGTGATTCTACGATGCCATCTTCGGTTTTTTTTTGGTTATATTACGTATTTATTTATTCAACTGTGTACATTGGTGAAAATTCCCAAAAAAATTACATCCAGTGCTGGGAAAGTTTTGGTAGTGTTGGCCTGGCTTACTTTTTCACAGAACCCTTATCGGGGGTTTACACCGAGTGTGGTTCACTAGGACAGAAAGCGACTTTTCGCGTTTCGCAGCGCGAAACATTTTCGCTGCGGGAACCTCAGGTCCACCGCTGATCATCAGTGGACCCGAGGTTCCCGCAGCGAATCATCAGTGGACCCGAGATTCCCGCAACGAACAATGTTTCGCGCTGCGAAACGCGAAAAAGTCGCTTTCTGTCCTAGTGAACCACACCCAGGTATGGACAGTAGGACATGGGTTGAATGTCTACTCATTTATACCCATCTACCGTTCTCCCGGTCGATAGACTTTCTGGAGGTGAAAGGTAACTTCGAGGCGGGAAAAGGACAGCGGTCATACTTTGTGGCCGCCTTGTAGTTGTTTTGCACTTTGGGGGGCTGGTGTCCCGGAGTGAATTCATATCTCACCTTGCCCGCCGTTTCTACAATCGCATGATTGCCATGATCGAATGTTGGTCGATACATATTTGCTCCACGAAAAAAACACAGGATTGCAAAATCGCAGAGTTGTAAGATTCCATATGTCATCGTCGACGACCCCTGCAAATACTGTAACCGACCAACTCCTCTCCCTCGAGTGGCTTCTCAGTGGGCGGATTGCGGAGTACTTCCTAAGACAGGCACGTAATCTACTTCTATGAGCGTAGGGAACGATCCATCCTCCCACGTACTCTCAATCTCTCTCTTCAGGAATGGATGCCGAAGACTTGGGTATCGTGCCCTTTAAGTTGTAATGATAAAACGGGCAGCCCCTCAGCTGGACACTAGTTACTTTGAGGGAACAGAGAGACTGAGAGTACGTGGGGCGATGAGAGCCAAGACCGTGAGATTTGTACGCTTAGCGGCTATTACCAGAAGGTCGCACGGCTGAAGAGCAGGGTGTAAAGACTCATAGAGAGGTGTGATTAATATTTCCTTCCCAATGGAATGGTTGAAATTGACCAAAACGGTTGCTTGTAGGCATGATTTTTCTGAAAAGGCACGACTTTTCAAAGAGAGATTGGACGATTTCCGAAACGAAATTGACGCAATGAAAAGAGAAGACAGGCAAACTGAGCACGATGTTATTCATATTCATAATATGCACAACGGATTCGACAAATTCACGACTTTGAGAATGGTGGGGTTTTGCAACTCTTTATTACATTACTGTTTTTATCTCTGCTTTTTCTCGAATTTCGCTGTCGTGTTGCTACTGATTAGTTGGTGTATGGGCAGCTAGTATAAGTAGTAGATCAGCAATTTGAATCTTAAACTTGCACTGAAAATATTGAACCTCCAGATTGGTCCTTCTTTTCTCATATTCTCCCAAACTCGAAATGAAAAAAAAAACAATTTTCATTGTATAATTTGCAGTTGTCGAGGATTATATAGGATTATAGCTCTAGCTGGATTGAAGTTCTCATTTTTTTCGTAAGAGTGGCCTCTCCTCCGCGCTCATAGATTCCTAGACATTTCTGATTTTTTAGCATAAGTCGAAGAGTGCTAGTTCTCTTGAATCTTGTTATGAGCTGCAATCATGGTACTGGTGAGTTTGTGTAGTTGTGTGCGTGTTCGTAATGCGGGATATGTAAAGTTTCATTTGCTGAATGCCATAACAGAGCTGTAGATGGTGTTGAAGGTCTCCTTTTTGCTTTTTTCAACCATCGGTTCTGTGAACTTTACTAAACATTGAAGTTTTTCCGGAAGGCTTTCAAGGTTTTCAACGAAATGATACTTTACACTGTCCCGTTTCCTCTTCATTGTGGAGTTTTTTTTTGTTTCTGAGGCGTTCGCATCGCATATGTCCATTCGAGTACCAAAGGTGTTGAAGAATTCCAGTGTACCCTTTTGACATTTCTTTTTATTTTGTTTGCAGTTTTATAAGGGAGTTCCTCATAGCATGAGCACGTTTTCCAATTACGTCATTTTTTCATTCTGTCATGTGTAGTTGTTATAACATTTTTGCGGTAGTCAAACTAAAAACTTAAGTCACTGTCGAACCAGTCGTTTAAGAGATGGAAAATTCCCGAGAGTAATTCGTAAGGCCTTCTACCTTGGGGAGTAGGGTTAAAATCACTCGTCCATTTGTCTAAGGATCCAACCTGGAAGGTCTTCACTCAAGCCTGTAGAATCTGGTGAACTCGAATATGTTTTCGAGGTCTGAAGATTCGAGGTAAATGGGAACGGGGTAGACTGTGGAAATTGGCGCTGCTACCAATTCTCCCATAACCTTGGTGGATTCGGATCTGTTTCCGTGCAGTCCAACCAAACTTCTGCCCTATCTAGACAGCAATCAATTTTCAGACACGCTGGAAGTATGTGTTTACTGCTCCCCCCCCCCCCCACTAACGTCAGTGGATTTTGCTGGTCATTGCAAATCGCATCTAAGTATTACCGCGATTTTGGGCGAAAGTCCGTCTGCGTGGCGCATTCTAGAAAGTTATTCCTCAGCGCAATATGTCCGCTCTTTGGCCCACACTTCCACTGGAGTCAGTTTAATAGCAGTGAACAAAGGTGTGGGCGTTCGGCCGCTGCCTCGCAACGTTGGCCGTGGTCTTTTTCTGGGAATAGTTGATTGCTAGTACAGTTGGCAATGTTAATCCGCCCTTAACTTAGTGGTAGCCTCCCATTTTCTCTGGGACTGCCCATCCCTGATTCACAAGTGTCTCGTACACAACATTGTAAGATCGCTTAGGACCATCTTTTGTTGCCAGAATTCAGGTCGATGTTGTGCTTCCATCAAAAAGGAAACATCTCAAGAAGAACGGATGTTGAAGTGATCATGAGTGACACATGATCTTGATGTGCTGTTGAACTAATATTGCGCAAGTGTCTGCGATTAATATTTCAATGATGTATTTCGTATTTTAGAGTTCTCGCGGTACTCCAAAGCAACGTGTCGAGGTCTTCGAAGGGCTCTGACGAACTTTATTTCTCTAGAGTCTCTTTTCTTGTTTTTTTTTCACGACCGCTCTCTGCTAACCTTATTGCTCCATAAAGTGGACTTGGACTATAGCTCAAAAGATTTCTATTAGTACTTAAGAATATGGCCTTCACAACATTTGCCGCCATCTTCATATTGTACACATTGTATGGTACTTGTGTCGAAAATCATGCTTCTCTTATTAGGGAATGATCCTATCTGTATAGTAGTCTTTCTTTGTTATCGAATCAGTAATCTCATAACTGAGGAAGTTTGTAAACCGTGCCTTACTACTAGACTGAACTGATTTTCATCATCTTCTTCGTTTACTCTTGTTTATTCTTTGTACGTTTGGTTTTACCACACGTACCGATAGCATAACCTTCTGCTTTTTGATGCCAACTGTTTTCACTAATCATTGGTAGTATTTATCGAAATCATCTTGATATTTTCTCATTTTTGGATATTTCAAGGTCAATTTGTGATTTCGCTTAGAGTAGTCATGATGTGATAGATTTGGTGTTTCTTCATTTCTTTCTTTGTGCGGTATATGACCGATCGATTTCAAAATTTCGTGTACTGATATACACGCTAAGCCGTTGCCTATTTCTTTGCTCAGTTACCAGCTGCTTAAATTGTCGTACGAGAGAGATTATTACATATTGCATCAATTGTGACCTTACTTAAAGCTACTACTTAGTGCCTTCATTTCACAAGCGGTCAGGTGTTTTTTTTTGTTGATTGTTCAATAAACTAATGATTCTTGTATTTTAATATATTGAATGGATTGGTTTCGAATCTGCGTGTATCTGTGCGATCAGAACGAGCTGAAGAACGACGACAGTAACAAATGACACCACTTAATGTTGTCGTTCTCCAGTCCGTTTTGAAAGCGTATCCAGGTGAAATTACTTTATTTACCTATGTATTAGCACAACCATAGTTGATTTCGAGATGAAATTCACAAAGACTTCCACTTATAGTTGGGATGATAGCAAAGAGAGCTGGAGGCTCTGTCGACAAGTCGCCAGCTGTCAGGAAGCCTAAAGTGGCCGAGGCGTCCGCTCCGATCATTGAGCCTGCGGTCAGTAATTGAAGTCGATATGTTAATCATTGAAGAACACTTTTGAGTTTTCCACTGGATTTCAATTCATTTATAATTATGGGGCTGTATCTTATCCTTTCGCCAGGCTAGGGGAACAAAAAATTTTCAACTTTTCTTTGCCTTACCTACAAAAACCGCCGTGAGTGCATATATGTAATGTTATAAATGCGTAAAGGCATGTGTGCGGAAAGAAAGGTCTTGAAAATAAACAAATTCAAATGGCTCTTGTGTGCTACTTCGAAGGACCGAGCCATTCAGAAATTGACAACTGTCATTTCGCCACCTAAGCAGTCAGTTAGTCATATAATTGATGCCTTTCCAGCAACACGCGTTCTGAACAAGAAACATGAGCTTATGAATACTTGGTTATTATAGTGAGATTATTGTGTTCAATGCATAATCAAACTAGGTGTTAAACCTTTTTGTTTTCTGCATTGGAAATTCATTTTGATTTTTATCAGGAGTTGTTTCCGGAATTTCCATATTATTGTTCAAACTTTCCTAAGATTTCATCAAGGTGGAATTCGAAGAAGTTGTTTAATCTTCGTTTTGCACATGCCCTTAGACCGAGACAAAACAAAAGATGTCCTCTCTTGTGCTGTTCAGTAATAATTATGTAATTAATGCTTTGTTAGTGTTTAAATAAAATCTGAACAGCCCGAATATTTACTACAAAGCGAGATATTTGATTTCACATGACTTCATTATATAATTTTACTGTTGCAAAATCTCGAAATTACCCGTTGTACTTACTTTCTGCCTCCCTGCAGAGCCAATTACGGTTCGTTTTTGTTGCAGCGCCGCTGTGCGATCCAATGTTTCATACGGCTTCAACATCCCCTTTCTGACGTGCTTAGTAATTTTATCAGTTGAACCGTTTCTTCGTCACCCACTGGTTGAAAACCCAATGTCTTGGGATGTACTAATAGTAACGACAGGATTGAACTAGCAAGTACTTGTCTTGAACCGTATTGATCGTTGACTCGCAATTTTACTCTGTACAGTTCAGGACCTGTATAAAATGGAAGATGAAATTGCACGTTCAACAACACATGCTGAGCTTGAGAAAAATTTTCTACGCGAATCAGCTATGTTGAGGGCTGTTCTGCAGAAATTCATAGACGGCGAGACTGAGGTGAGCCTAAAGCCTAGTTTCTTGTTCCATTCAGTTTTTAGAGCGGACGTAACGAATCAAGTATGGTTCACATAATAAACTACGACTAACAGCTCAAAAATTCCCTGACGGCAGATTCCTTGAATCACTCTTATGTGCACTGGTACATACATGATCGCTTTCTTTGGGAGAGGTTCATCATTTATTTATTTGAGACGCTGCTCGCAGGCAGACGTAAAAGCTGCAATCAAAATTACATACAATCAAACAATCAATATAATCGCATTATTCAATAACACAGTAACAGGTTCTTTGCCCAACGTTTGAACACATTATTGTTATTATTTATCACCTTATAGTAGGATATTTCAGCCTTGTAGCTCTAGTGTGCTTCTCAATATCATCCAGATGCGTAGGTGTTCGAGGATTGCCCACTATGCTACGGCTCAGCTTCGTTCCGAAACGAGTGCACGACTTGAGCAGGTAGGGTCTTTTTGATATGAGTTGAGCCATGCGAGGAAATATCTGCGCCTCAGTAAGTTATTTCCCGAAATATTTTTAAACATCTAATTCGAGTTCAGGTCGAAGCAAAATATTTACTACTCCAAAACTCGTCAAGTGAAATACAGCATTTACAAAAAGAAATAAGTCGCTGTTTACAATTCAGGTTAGTTTCTCTATACAGCGCCTGAGTTTCAAGCATAGCGAGCCCATCTTCGACAATGTCCTACTTATATGAAGCGCTTCGTTTGCCTCCTTACGTCTGTATGTTTGTCACGAAAATCTCTATTTCCTGTACATGCGCCTGGAGAGATCGGGTTAGTGTGGAATGGGCCCTGTCTCAGGAAATGCACATTGGCCGATGTCAGAGTCTGCGATTGGAGCGATCGGTCAAATGCCAATCGCGCGACCATCGCGCGATTCGCGCGACGATCGCGCGATTGACATGAGTCCCATCATGACCAATCGCTCCAATCGCGCGATGGGCGCGATCACTCCCGTTGTGGCTGGGCGCCCCTCTCGATCGATAGCTCAGTCAACGTATCGATCGAGAGGGGCGCGCCAGCCACAACGGGAGTGATCGCGCCCATCGCGCGATTGGAGCGATTGGTCATGATGGGACTCATGTCAATCGCGCGATCGTCGCGCGAATCGCGCGATGGTCGCGCGATTGGCATTTGACCGATCGCTCCAATCGCAGACTCTGACATCGGCCAATCTGGCTCAGCGGAGTCCCGCCCGTGCCGGCCGGAAGTGCAGCGAAATAGGTAACTGACACGAAAATGCAATATGTATCAACAGGCCTAGAACTTACAAGGGTAAAGTGCTTCATGATAAGCCATTGAACTAAGGAGACTTGCCGGCGTTTTTAGCGCTGCTTAATGACAAAATTTACAAATCCGTCAGGAGAAGGCCCACAGAGCAGAACAAAAATTGGTCTAGGGAAAGCAGTGGTTAAGGTTCACGGTTTTTTACAGTACATGAGCGCAGGCTCACCCACAGTGGTCGGTGTCTTAAAGAGGACATCGTTCCCACCAACCTCATAATTCGGTTTTCAATAAGTTTTAGAGAACGGTTAAGATGGTTAAGGTCAAGAAGTAGAGGGTGCCTCAAATGTTAATGTTGGCGTGACGGCACCAAAGTTGCTCCTACACTATACACGTTCACGAGCTCCAGGAGATGGGGGGAAAAGAAGTGGAAATAGCGCGAAGGAAAGCGCGGTCAAGCATCTGTTGGCGGGGCTTGCGTACAATGTGGGCGGAGTTTGCATCCAGACGTACGAACCGATTCAGAGACAGTTCAGAGATGAGAAAAAAGTGTATGAAGGCTCCAGTGAAGAAGGGTACAATGCTATTGGTGGGTGGAGCTTGCACCGATAGGCGAAGTTTGCAACAAATACTATAAATCGTGTTAAGGACAGTGCGGTGAGGCGGAAAAGCGGGCAATGGTTGACGAAGAAAGAAGGGTCAAAGGTCACCGGTGGGCGGGGCACACAACGTGCTCCGGACCATATTTCTACTAGGCCTAAAATCCGACGTCTAATATGGGTTACAGAAATAGCACGGAACAGAATGTAAGGATGGATCATAGCTTAGGGCAAGTCCATTATTGGTGGTGAATCGGGTTGAACTTGTGCATTTTCGCCGCATAGTTCCATGTCGCCGCAGAACTTGCGTTGTGCGCGCAACAGCGTGCGCTGCCAACCGGTACTTATGAACTGGCTAAATCACCAATCAAAGTATTATGGAGACGAGGGTCGAAGAAGAAAACTCACTTAGTCCAGAGATAGGCAGATCACCTAAGAATGCCGACAGACACGCTCTTCGCTTCGAAGCATATGGCTGGGGCGATCTGCAGTTGGCGCGCTATTGGCGCGGTACGCCTTCTCGCTCACCGCTCGTATACTTAGTCTCCGCTCTGTTGAGAGAGAAAGCTGATTAGAAATGTTGAGGAGGGCACAGCGATGAGAGTCGCATCAATGCCGAATAAATTGTCAAGGAACAGGTCCCGCTTTCAGGGTTTCAGGTCATTTCCTCGGGTTTTTTCTTCTTTCGCGCATCACTGACCATCTCTGAACTAACTTCCAATGGGCTGCCTTTTCATCCTACAACCCATCTTTATCCGAGTCGGAGCATCTTCTGCTACTTGTTTGTTTTGTTACTGCTTGAAGGCCTGGTAAGTATGATTTGAAAAGTGTTATTGAGTGATTAGTTAGGTACCAATTGTGAAGTAGGAAGGATGAGCCAGTTGCAGATCGTGTTTGCCGTGATGGAGGTAGTCGTGTCAGGTTTTTTCAGAGGTGGCGAGTAAGTAATACATTTGGGGATAGTGAAGGGAAAGAAAATAGTGTAATACCTTTTTCCCTCCCCTCCATCCTCATCGCCCTGCACGCGACTTGACTCGAAGCACTTCATTTGTTTGTTTCTTTTGTTTGTTTGGAGGTGCAGTTGATGGAAGTGTGGCAGAAGGGAGCCTCAGCGATAAGCAAGAAGTCTCGATTATACAGGGACAGCGAGGGAAAGGGACGTGCAGGGCAGAACTTCCTGGATGTTTGGCTCATCCAAGTCGCAACTCAACAGAATTGTCTAGCCTCCGGCGGCAGCAGTTTCGCATGCTGGTTTTCCCGTGTAAAAATTGTTATAACGATTCTCCCAAAAAGAAGTCTTAGAAAGTAAAAGTGCAAAACGCTGGTCCTACTACCTTTTATACATTTACTTCTTACTGTTATTAGTCTTCAGTTGGTGGTTCAAATACGCCTGGTATTTATAGTGCCGGCGACGAAGATATCGAACTGGTTCCATTGGATGAATTCTATGCTCATGCTCCTGAGGGAGTATCTCGACCAGAGGTGACCAAAACGAATGAGCACGAGCAGCGATTAGCAAGGTTGACGTGGGAAATAGCACAACGGAAAGCGTAAGTTTTGATTGTTTTGGGTCCAATAGAAGAGGTATGACAAGCTGAATGGTAATGGATCGTGTCATAATGGTCATCTCTTTTGATATGTCGATATGGCTCACTACGCCAGAATGTTCAGATTGGTTGATACATTAACTGAACAAGAAGGTCGTCGGAATGTTCTTATCAGCAGTATCAATGGCAAGGAGCAACGATTGAAGAGCCTTCGATCGAAAATCTCTTTATTAATAACAGTACGTGAATTTCAATGTTCCATTCAAAGCCCTCAATCTGAGAGCTGGGAGTTGCACCCAAAAATTCGCAACGTTTGTCTCTTTGACAATTCGGCTGCTTGCTTATCACCCTTCATTTCTTGAAATGGCTTTCATTTGCTTTATTGCAGGCTGCCAAGCCTGTTCAAGAGGCGCTTGGAGTTGGAAATGCTTCGGCCTCATCTGCAGAACAGCGAGCTCTGTTTTCCTTGCTGCCGCATGACTTATCGGTCTTATACGTGCAGGCTGAGGCCTATAGGGATATCATGGAAGGTATATGAGTTTTAGTTTTTTGAAGATGCTCAGATGTACTTTTAACGGATGTCGTCAGTGTTTTAACATTCTATACTCAACTATAATTTACATCATAGTCTCAGTCCCGATATTCCGATAAACATTCTTGTTGTGGAGATACCACCACCTCACTGCTGTTCATTAAGCTACATTTCACGCTTTTTGCTCTCCCACTTGGTTTTCTTTTTGTTTTCGAGTTTTGTTCATTTTTTATATTTAAGATACGAGCTTACAAGTAGTAATTCGTGGAGATGCAAATGAGGCACTGCGGCTGAATCGCCGACAAAAAGAGGAGGCTGAGGAGAAGGAAAGGAGCGACGATGAAGGTTCGTGATAAGCTGGAATAGCCGATGTTTGACATAGCTGTGTTACAGCTGTTACTTTCTACTTTGTTGCAGAAACAAGTGATAATGATGAGCGACACAGTGTTGTGTCAGATCGACTGGAGTTGAACAAGAAGGCAGTTACCCAGCCACATCCCATTTATCTGAAGATTGATATAGGATGTCAAGGTAGCCCCATCTCAATTTGTAGTTAGTGCTATATCAGAGAAAAAACAGACATCAAAATGCTTCAGATGATGTTAAAGTTGCTTTGAAACTGTTTCATCTACCGGAGTTGAGGGTTACGTGCATGAAGTACAAAATCACTGGGAAATTGCCAACACATGGGTAACTTATTGTATTGTTGATTTGAGCAATGCTTTGAAGTGCCGTCGAATGTGACTGTCTCAAATCAAATATTTTAGTGGTGTCTCCGCTCATGAAAACTTACTCGATTCTTTGTTTCCTGGTGACGATGGAATGGAGTGCCCAAATCCTGTAGGAGCAGCGAAGCTAGCTCAACTCAAGTTCGTTAGCCGTCAATTTCAATATTTTTAACGTCATAACATTATTGCCTTCTTCATGTGCTTGAATGAATGTGCCGGTGAATTTTTTCCCATTTTTTACCGCTCTGTACTTGACTTCGCTTAGGCTTTCTTCACAGTTACGAGTACTGCAAACTCATGCACGTCAAGCGCACTATAAATGTTGGATAGTGTCAGTGACCCTTATGGTTTTTACCATTATCATTCCAGGATCGGAGTGGATTCGTTTGCTAGTAAATATGGCCGACCATATCGGTTCGTGCAGGCGTTGACAGGATCGGCATCGTTGACTGGCGGAGATTCGCCATCAAAAATCGACACTACAGGCATACAACTGGCTGATGTACTACACGATGTTGTAAAAGCCATCCGCGATCGTGTATGGGCCCGTGTGAAACTCGTCCGTCAACTAGTCGCTTTAGGTTAGTATCTTTGCAATGCTTCTTCGTTGTTAGAGAAGTCCTCTATTGTGCTAGGGGTTGTCGAACTTTCTCGAGATTCCCTGATACCCTGAGAATACGCTTCAGAATCTTCACCAATGGATGCCATACGATTATTTGACATCCCATTGAAGATGGTCACACAGATCACCTCCTTTAAAATGATTGATGAAGAGACGTTCATGGTGGGTTCTTTCATTGTTTAGCAACACTAAGCTTTTTTTCCTATCAGTTGCAGCTCCTGTTCTGCTCGTTTATTGGAAATTGTTTCCTTTGAGGTCTAATTAATTTGTTACAGTCATCTGTGACGCCAGAGCTGAGGATTTTAGCCTCACGCGAGAAGGGAGCGTTCTTTTTCATGGCTGCTTTGTTGAATAAACTGTCTGATCTCAAGTAAGTTTCTCTCCCTTCGCAATTCCCTTCAAGAAAACTGCTAAGGAGTTCTCTGTTTTTGTCATAACGAATTGACTAGCTCTTACGCAGCAGTCCACCTCAGTGCGTTTTCAGCAATAATACAGCAATCAAGGTCATATCCAGTTTAGAACGATTGGTACTAAGCAACCAGTACTCATTGGTAATCTAATGCCCTGAATACGAAAATAGCCATCATTTTAGAGTTGGCGCCTATTGGTGCTCGTCTCTCTCACTGGTTAGATTGCGATCAGGGTTAGGCCTTTGGGGAGAAGAGGGATTTGATGTGAGTAGGCCAATCGCCCTGTGATCTCATACGCTGCAACTTTTTGCCATACGTGGCTTGTGGATTATCCACCCCGGAGTCTCCCTCCCCCTAACCCTAAGGCATTTCGAGGTTAGGTAGTGCCAAACGGTTTTGATCTTAGGTTTAGCCAGTCACAGTTCAACATTGATGGCTTCCTTTCGTGAAGACCTTTGAACAATTATGAATGTGAGAAGGAAGGTGAATGTATTCATGTAAACTGAAATGAACAAAGTACCACTTGACCTTTTTTCATAAGAAGCCTTTAGCCACGCCAGTAGATTTGAACGCTCATCCAAAATGATAGAAATACCACGCCTTAATTTCAAATGCTCAAAGCTTTCCCAGGAAGGGTATTTAAGAGTTATGAATACAACAGGTCGCACACAGAACTACATTGAAAGCAATTGAGGAAATTGCTCATTCATCTTCGAAAACACATTTATTTTAATTAGTGATGGTTCACGATTGGAGATGTCGTTCACTCGTATTCTCTTGTTTCAGAATTAATGCCTACATCATGTTACCGGTGGACTATCCTAAGCAGTTACCACTCTTTGGTATTGTGTTCATTAAAAATGAGACTAAAGAATCTCCGCAGCAGACGTTTTGTCCTACCGATTGTTACATTGTGAAGGTATGAGATTTTCATTAGATACTTCATATTAGTTATCAGCTATTGTGCATTTGTCTCAGCAGATGGTGTAAGACAAAGTTAGGAAGAGTTGTCATTCTCAAAGCAATCCTTTTCAGTCTCTGGAAAAGTACATTAACGTGGATTGCATTACGGAAGAGCACGTCGACTTGGATTCTATATTGACGCGACAGTTGGCATATTTAGCGAGTAGATGTGATGTGGTTGCTGATCTTGTCCCACAGTTCCAATCCGGCAGTAACACTCAACGACAGCATCTGTATAGTAGAATGTCACGGTTGGTTCATGCCGTTCATCGGTTTTGCTTATAAATTCTCTTCCGCTCGGCATTCCACACTTCCTTCCTATTTCCCTTTTGTTGAAAAAGGAACGGAAATGGGTGTCTTTTTGCTTGATGAGATGGCTCCTATCGGATGCCAGAGTTTTTGGATCCATTTTGTTTTGTGGCACATAAGCAATTATTAATGACATCATTTTTCAGAGGACGTGATGATGATCTCCCGTTTGGGTATTCACCTGCAACAAACGCTTTCGCGTTTCAATAGTACTGTCCAATGTTGTTACTTTTGTTGATGGATTATCAATAAAAAGTCTTATTAAAGGTTGTATATCAAATGCAATTCGGTTTGTGAGGCGATCCACATCTTTCCTTACTTGTGAGCATGTTGTCGGGTCCACGTCCACTGTGAAGGGGCGTGGCCCGGGTCACGGTACCAAAGGAGGCTGGCGTTGGCTAGCCGGGGCTCGACAGTGATGGTCCAACCCTGACCATACTCACCCCGCTCTTCTACCCTGTTCTTTACCTACCTATTATAGACTAATAGGTAGGTAAAGAACAGGGTAGAAGAGCGGGGTGAGTATGGTCAGGGTTGGACCATCACTGTCGAGCCCCGGCTAGCCAACGCCAGCCTCCTTTGGTACCGTGACCCGGGCCACGCCCCTTCACAGTGGACGTGGACCCGACACATTCAAGGCAGATTTTACGATGGAAAGGTAGCTCTTCGGAAATAAGGGTAGAGGTGGTAGTGGAGTAGGGATAATGAAACCATGTGAAACGGCCCAAACGTGAGAAATGGGACCCGTTCCTTACCCGTTGATTTCCGCATTGATACGGCTCTCATCGCTGTGCCCTCTTTAACACGTTGGCGATATTGGAATCCAAGAAACAGTTTTTTATTACTGATGATGAAAACGCTAAAGTATTAATGCCTATTGATGAGAGAATACAAAAAATGTTGAAGCAGTGTGCGCGCATAACGGCTCGTCAACGTGTTAATACTACGCTCTTTCCGCTATAGACCTGCGGCGAGTGATTAGGGAGTCGGTGGGCGTTCCACGCCATCAAACTGCGTCAAAAGAGAAGGCCGTGTTAGATCGCTGGAGGCATATCCTTCGATGCGAATTGTGTGTTGATCATTAGGGAGTCCGCCCTGTCTCTCCTTCATGTGAATTTCTCCTTTTTCAACCTTCGTTCTTATCGTAAAATCCTTCTTCAAGCCAACGGCTCAGCTTGAAGACAGGTGGCGCCCCACGTTTATTACGTGACTTGTATTGTAGGACGAAGGGGGCCATTGCATTATTGTGAAACGAAGCAGCAAGTGTTTGAAGGCAAAGAATACAGAGCGTTTTCTAAGTAGGCCGATGTCATAGTTTGCGAATCGAGCGATTCGCTAGCGAATCGCTAGATCCGAGCGTTGCGTCAGCGAATCGAACGTTGCACCAGCGAATCGAACTAGGTACCAGCGACTCAATAGTGGCGGACCCAACGTTTAAAGGAAGCCCGCCACTTTCAAACAGTGTCCACTGCAAAGTCCCGCCACTTTCAAACAGCGTCCACTGTCACGTGACACTGTTTGAAAGTGGCGGGCTTCCTTTAAACGTTGGGTCCCGCCACTATTGAGTCGCTGGTACCTAGTTCGACTCGCTGGTACATCGTTCGACTCGCTGGCGCAAAGTTCGATTCGCTGGTGCAACGTTCGATTCGCTGGCGCAACGCTCGGATCCAGCGATTCGCTAGCGAATCGCTCGATTCGCAAACTATGACATCGGCCTAAAGGGAAAGCGGAGATGGATGGAATTCTCCGAGCACTGCTAGCGCTTCTTCCATGACTCATTTTCATTTCTTCGCAGGGTGTAGGAAATTTCACCTCTATGTTGCAGTTGCAAAATGTATGGAAAAATAGTACCTTTTCAGGTTCAATAACGGATTAAGCATTCAATATCCATCTTAGAATGTGCTGAGCATTTGACTTCCTTTTGGCGCCGTAGTCTCTCTTGAGTGCGATGCTATTTTGTTTAACTCAATTTTGCCATTTGTATTCGCATCATCGGCTGCAAATTAAGAACTAGCAAAGCCTTTTGGGAAAGGTTTTGCTAGTTCTTTTGGCTTATCTGGTTCATATGCCTCTACATTGGAAGTTTTTGAATGGATTACTCAGGTTGGCTACCAGGGTGGGCCGCAAACGACTCACAGCTGGTTGTGAACTATTTGAGTTCTCGAGTGGTCGCCGCTCTCAAAAATGCTGTGCAACATTAGCATAATGAACGTTGTGATCATTGAAGGTCTTATGATGGTGATGTTGAGTTCCGACATCGAAAACCTGCTTGACTAATGTGTACGACAGACAAATCACTTCTTAAGCGGGGAAGAAATAGCTTGTCCGGTTTTTTTTCCTTCTAATTAGAACACTTTCTACGGTTACGTGAACGAATTTCACGGCTCTATGTACCGTAAGTGGTGGGGGACGGGAATTTATGCAATGTTTGTTCCGCTTCTAGGTTTTTGCTGGGCAGAGCAAGTTTGGCAATAAGTTTTCTGATTTCCTTTTTAAAGTAACCCAGCCCCATTGGAAGCTTTTCTTCTGCGAAAATTGGCATTAACTCTTGTATTCGCAACGAACGGAATTTGCAACAAAGTTTTGACAACGAGTACCCGGTTTCACTTATGGCAATTCTGATTGCGGCCATATTACGAATCAATATGTTTGCTAATTAGTTGGTATCATTAGATTGACGAGCGACCACTGTGGGCAAACAATTACTAAAAATAATCGTACAACATCCACGTTGTTATTGATGTTCTTAATAACGTTCTTTCACATGATCTTTTGCAATATTGTATAGGTATTTTTGGTATCTTGCAACAAACCTCTAATGGTCAAGGGTCAAGTCTCGAAGATAACCATGCTACTAAGCGGTTTAAGTGACACCATGTAAATGTCATGAATTCGAGTAGCAATATGCATATTTCGAGAAAAACAGTCGATTACAGCACAGGAGATAGCCTTTCTATTTCCTACACATACATTTTTACATGCTGTGGTGAATTGCACTCCGGCCTAATGCTCTATCGAAGCTGTGAAGGATGTGCCTTCTTGTCAGTGGTTCCAGCTTTCTTTTTGCATTTTTATAATTCTTATGGAGGTAAAGAACAGTCATAGTTACTGTTGTGATACCATGGAACAGGGAGGTGATCCAAAATCTTCGAATTTTTTGACGAATGTCCAAGCGTACGGTTGAGCATATGGAAGAATTTCATCATTTGTTCTAAAAATGAATCCATACTACATATAATTTTGGAAGCTTCCCATTTTTGTGAAAAAGTGTCCTCAGGGAATTCTAGGAAAGTTGTGTCACCAGTTATTTCTTCGAGATTTTACGGCATCGGCCTTTTTCTGCAACCTCTCTGGTGTTGGGAAAGTTGCAAACGAGAATGGCTGAACATTTGGAAGAAATTTACGTTTATCCTGCCCAGTATTTTCGGGCTCTCCGCTCTATTGGGAAGTGTCCCAGAGATTTTCGGGGAAGTCCTGTACCCAGACTCAAAAGATTTCAAAAAATAATGCTCTTTTTTGCAATCCTTCTAGTGTTATATTAGGTTTGAGCTTTTTATCTAGGAGTGTGTGGTTGAACAGATAGGTGAAGCAATTTCCCTGCTGCCTCTTTTCAAGAAGATCCCTCCAACACGTGGCTAGCAGTAGGAACAGAGCTTGAGCAGGATGCCTAAAATTTCCTTCTTGATGCTTAGATTTGTCCTGTGACTTACGAGGTGCAGGCAACGAAGCGATGAGAGGGAGCCTTTGTGCTCATGTACTTGAACAGGACATGCGCGCTATAGGGAAGCCAATAAATGGCCGCGTCGCGTCCGACGAAGCGAATGCCAAGCGGCTTTTCTTCACAAAGATGACAGCACTGCGCCCCCCTCTACTATAGTGACTACAGGGTTTTGTCTATCTATAAAACTTCAGTGTTTCAGATGACCGTGCGGTTATGTATGTACTTATTGTTAGGCGTACCATTGATGTTTATGAGTTGCAAAGCTCAAACTTGGACGACGGGCGATAATTCGACTGTGAAAGGATGCAGGTACTTGGCAGTTGTGTGATATTAGTTTTAATTCAGGGTTTTAGTCGATCTTTTAGCTTTCCCTTTCTATTCTACGGGAGAGGCATTTATTGGTATCTTATCCTTGGTTTTAGAGAGCACTCTTTTGTGCTCTCTAAGACTAAAGATAATATGTGAACGACTCATTTCGAAGCGCACTTTTGATAAGGACCGGTGGATGTCCTACACTTCCACACTACCTGCCCACATCCCATCCAACTTTTCTGCACTAGGTCATTCCTGGAGCTCCTCCACCCGTAGACCGAATCAAAGCGCTCCATATTCGGGGCCGTTTCCTTGGACCATTGCAGGCCGAATTGTGTACGCACCTCAGGCCAACTCCTACATCGCACCACTACTATCAGAAGTACACTTTAAGTGATTGATTACGTGTCACGAGCGCTAGCAAACTTGAGTAGTGGGGGAAAACAAAGAACTGCCCCCCCCCCCTCTTAACTGGATTTCCACCCAGTAATCACTGACATAGAGAAATCGAAGTTGTGTCATTATAAGATCAGCCATAAGATGGCGGTAACTCCAGGCTTTTGGTAAAAAATCTGACACATGCACTATGAAGGCATGACTGCAGAAATTTGGGAAGTAAGAAAAAGAATCAAATCAACTCTGAAGAATCCTTTCTACATATAGGAATTCAGAAATGAAGCTTATTGTGATTGAAGAACTATCTAGAACACATAAATGTTGATACATAAGCAATGGGTTTGAATCCCCTAAGCTGTTTGGCTCATTTTCTGGTTTTAGGGATTCATCTTAGCACCAATGTCTTAGCGGTGGTATTTGACTCCGAACATCCGTTTCAAGATATGACCTTGGATGTTGTCCTGGCGTAGTGCACTAACGTTTTGCGACATGAAATAGTTTTTGGATTACGCCCTTTGTATTATACTATAGTGTTGTTTTCAGCACCCACTGCGCTTTGAACGATGACGACCTGTCGTGTTGGAATTCTACAGCTAACTTCTTTTCCAAAGTATTAATTGGACAACTACGACATTACATTGCTGTTCAGGTAATCCTTATACTACTCATAAAAGCAGAAAGCGGTAAATTCAAGGGTGTGTAGAATTACTGATGCACAACATTTCTATGTCGTTTGGAGAAACCTTACTTCAGAAATCAATCGTTGCGATGGGTATTATTTATTACAGAACACAGCAAACAAACATGAAATCCAAACATACATGGAGGTAGAGTATCCGTCGTATTTGAATAGAGTTGAAAGCTCCTGCTCTATTCACCCGAGATATTTTTGCAAAGTTTCTTAACGAATGTTCCGCCTTCGTCAAGTGGCCTTTGCTCAGTCGGGGCGAGTTTGCCTGAAACATGAGGCTTGAGAATGTTTTCTTTCTAGAGCCGCCTTTC